GTCTCGAACCCACGGGCTCAGGCAATCCACTCACCTCAGCCTCCCAAAGGCGCGGGATTACAGGCTGAGCCACCGAGCCAGGCTGCCAGTGGTTCTTAAGGGGACTCAAAACTCAAAACCTGATGGCCCTTCAAAAACCTAACACGAGCACGCGGCCGTTCCAGGTAGTTGCAGACAGCAACGCTCAGAGAAATGGACATCATCAGAAAGCAGACTTGAGTTACGAAGAGCTTTCTCATTTGCCAATCTGCCCAGCAATGGAAGTGATTGCCTGGGGAGGGGGTGAACTCCCCACCACCAGAGGTAACCAAGCAAAGACGGCAGGATCACTTGCTGAGGAGCCGCAGAAGAGATTTCTCAGATGATCTCGAAGGTGCTGTCCAAACTCAGATCCAACAGTGCGAAATCCAAGGAAGAACATTTACAGACACACTCAGCACATCACGGGGCAGCAGAATTAGCAGTAATTCTTTAAACTCAGAAGAAGGACACTGGCGGCAAATAAAAATATGCCTTTACGCCATGGTTAATAACCTCACAGTGAACTGGCAAGTCAGCTGGCGGAAGCCAAAAGGGGCATAACAATGGTCGGGAGGAAGGAGGTCCCTGTTGAACCATTTTTTCTCCTCACAATATCTGCTTGCTTAAGGCCTGGTGACCGCCTGAGCCACACAGCACACACACAAAAATGTAAACTGCACGTACGTGGACATGTAAACCTGATATAAGCAAAGTTCACAAGTAGACGCGGTCCCAGGACTTAGGCATGAACCCCCTGGGCCCACCGGCGTAAATAAACTTGTGTCCTCACGTTCCGGGAGTCAGTTCTACCGTAACCATAGACCGCGTCACCCCAGAAAGCAGAACGAGCCCAAAGTTAGAAGCAGACTAAGAAGGGCTTCATCGAATGAATAAATCTGCAGCCCGAGGCAGGCCCCATAGGGGCTCACATCGCAGGCAGTCAGCATGCCCGCCCTGGCACACCCTGGAGCCCGCACCGTCGGGGCAGCTCACAGACTTGAAGGAACTGCGGATTCTCCCAGGTCCCCCACAGAGTGTTCCTGCGGAAAGGGTCCGGCCTCTGCTGCCCTGAACCACGCCTGCCCAGTGAGGAACACAGAGCCAAGGTCAAGGGAAAGTAGAGGCCCCCAACCCAACACGGCTCCTCCCACCGGGGGAGAGAAGAAACCACAGAGAGAAAGTTCCAGCCACACGGCATCCATCACTCACAATCTCGACAGAGCCTGGTTGTTCTGGAACAGCAGCTCCGGAAGCGTGTGCAGCTGGTTCCGGTTCAGCCGCCTACGAGAGAGGAGAGAAGATTCGGTGATCACCTGGACGTCCAGGAGTCCCAAGAGGTCGATTGCCAAGTCGGCAGCCCGGAGTTCAAACCCTAATAGGATCAGAGTGTGGTCACAGAGAACAACTTCTCTGGGCTTCAGAGGTCTAGAAAGTGAAGGTGCCAACCCACTGTGCTGCCCGTCAAAAGAGGACTGAATTTAAAAATGTGGTACATATACACGATGGAATATTACGCAGCCATAAAGAAGGACCAAATTATGGACTGCGCAGCACCTTGGATGGACTTAGAGTCTATCATACTGAGTGATCTATCACAGAAACAAAGAACTGAGTACCACATGTTCTCACTCAAGCGGACCTTGAACAATTATCGTAATACTGTAAGAAAGGGATTGGCAGTAACGGGAAACTGCCGGGGGCGGGGGCGGGAGTGGCAGTAGTGGGAATCTGTCGGGGATGGCGGGAGCACACCTCATCAACAAGGGTACCAGCATAATGAACATTTGTATACCCAGCCCTGAGTTGTACCCCACATCTTTTAAAAATTAAAAATTTTTTAAAAAGAAAGTGGAGGTGTCACCAGCCAGCGCTTGGGGAGGAAAGAACGGAATCTCTGGGAAGGACCTGCCCACGTCAGTGAGCCAAGCACCTTCCATGCCACCAGTCCCTCACATGTCCTCAGTACTTCTTATTTGCAAGCCCTGTGCAATTTCTTTCTTTTCTTTTCTTTTCTTTTTTTTTTTTTGAGTGAGAGCAGTGGCACCATCATGGTTCACTGCAGCCTCGACTTCCTGGACTCAGGCGATCCTTCCCCCTCAGCCTCCTGAGTAGCTAGCGGGGACTTACACACATTCACCACCATGTCTGGCTAATTTTTTTTTTCTATTTCTTGTAGAGAGAAGGTCTTGCTATCTTGCCCAGGCAGGTCTCAAATTCCTGGACTCAAGCAACCCTCCCACCTGGGCCTCCCTAAGTACTGCACCTGGCCTCCTTTGCAATTTATTTCTAAGGCACAACAGACCTCGGTTGGCGAGAATACACAACTACTCTTTTTTTGTAGAGACGAGGTCTGGCTGTGTTACCCAGGCTAGTCTGGAACTCCTGGGCTCAAGCGATCCTCCCGCTTCAGCCTCCCAAAGTGCCCGGCCCCGACTACTCTCGAAATGTGAACATGCCCAGCGGGGACAGGGCTGGCCACGGTCCTGACTCCTAATTGCTTTCATCCATATTTGACTCAGCAGTGGCTTAACTTTGTTCTATTGTTTGCTTTGGGTTTTTTTTTTCCCCAAGATGGAAATAGCATTATTGATTTTTTACAATGTCATTAACGAAACTGCAGGCTTAAACAAAGAAGCAGCCTCATAACAGGAGAAAGGACTTGTCCGCTGCAGTCCCCTCCCTGCACAGTCGCTGGACAGCTTTCCACGCCAGGTGACAGAAAATCGCTCTCTGTTTTTAATGACTCCCTGGTTTTCAATTCCCCTGCTGGTGAACTGACAGCTTTTCAGGACTAGAAACCTGGGCAGGAGGGGACATCCAGTTCTGGAGTACAACCTGGTGAGAAGACGGAAAGTAGAAAGGACCCCAGGCCTGGTAAGGCCGCCAGGGTTAGCCTCTTGTCACCTACCTTCAGTGACGAATTATTGGACCCTGGAGTCCAGGGATACCTTCTACGTTCTTTACAACTGTAATGGACATTAAATCTAACAATTACTTTTTAGCCTCTACTCCAGCCCATCAAGAGGAATGATGCCTCTAAGGTGCAGAATCCTGGTCCGTGGAACTCCAGCAGGGGCACCACCTGGGAGCTGGTGAGAGCTACAATATCTCAGCTGGGCACAGTGGCGCACATTTGTAATTCTAGCACCTTGGGAGGCCAAGGCAGGAGGATGGCTTAAGCCCACAGGTTCAGGACCAGCCTGGGCAACATAAGACCTCATCTCTATAAAAAAAAAAAATGTTTTTAAGTTTAAAAATTTGGTACATGCCTGTAGTCCCAGCTATTCCGGGGCCTGAGACAAGAGGATCACCTGAGCCCCGGAATTTGAGGCTGCAATGAGCCCTGATCATGCCACTAACTCCAGCCTGGGTGGCAGTGTGAGACCCCGACTCAAAACAAAACAAAGAGAGCTACACTATGTCACGCGTCGCCCCAGACCTACCGAATCACGTCTGCATATCAACAGGATCCCGAGTGACTTGTGTGTGCTGTAAGATTGGCGAAGCACTGATGTAAAAACAGCCCCATGGCCAGGCTCGATGGCTCAGCCTGTCATCCTAGCACTTTGGGAGGTCAAGGCAAGTGGATTGCCTGACCTCGTGGGTTCGAGACCAGCCCGGGTAACTCGGCAAGACCTCGTCTTTACAATAAATCAAAAAATTAGCCAGGCCTGGTAGCAAGCACCCGTAGTTCCAGCTACTTAGAAGACTGAGGCAGAAGGATCGCCGGAACCCTGCAGGTCGACGCTGGGGTGGCCGTGAGCGTGCCAGGGCACTCCAGCCTGGGTGACAGAGTGAGACTCCAACTCAAAAAAAAAAAATTAATTAAATAAATAAAAGCAGCCCCCATCATTCAATCACCTACAGCAAGTTTAAAGCATGCAGGAGGGACTGCATAGGTTATATGCAAATACTACAGCATTTTCTACAAGGCACCAGAGATCCAAGGACCAGGGTGTCTAAGGGGGTCTTTAGACCTGACTCCCCAAGGACAGCCAGGGGTGTCATAAACCATCTCAGCAAACTCACTCTTGGAAGGAACAAAGGAAAAAATCATACTTCTACGTAGCCAGAGGTAACAGGTCTGTGGTCACCTCCTAGAAGGTCACCCTGGGCACTGTTGACTTCCAACACGGTACTGACAATTAGACCTGCAACTTTAGGAAACCAACTGGAAGAAGTTTACTTTTTTATTTTTTTGAGTTGGAGTCTCACTCTGTCACCTAGACTGGAGTGCAGTGGCCGCTCCCGGCCACTGCAGCCTTGCCTGCTGGGCTCCGGCAATCCTTCCGCCTCAGCTTTCCAAGTAGCCGGATCTAGAGGCGCGCGCTACCATACCCGGCTAATTTTTTGATTTATTGTAGAGATGAGGTCTCACCAAGTTGCCCAGGCGGGTCTTGAACCCGCCGGCTCAGGCAATTCACTCACCTCGGCCTCCCAAAGTGCTGGGATTACAAGCTGAACCACCGAGCCCAGCCAGAAGTTTACTTTTAAGGGAGGCCTCCTAGGGAAACACATCATTGCCTTGGGCTAAAAAGAAGGGGGTGTCCCCAATATAATCCTTACAGCAACAAGAGTAGAGATCAGGTATTTCCTAGTGCCGTAACCACAGTCCCATAAATTAACCTTGTATTTATGCTGCCTGCTAAGTCCTTTCTCCCCAGGACTTTCTCATTTTTCTGGCTTCAATTCCTGAAAAACATTTAGGAGGGAAAGGGGAAAGGCCGGGTGCCTTGGCTCACGCCTGTAATTCCAGCACTTTGGGAAGCCAAGGCAGGAGGATTGCTTTTACCCCAGGAGTTCAAGACCAGCCTGAGCAACATGGCAAGACCTCGTCTCTACAAAAAATTAAAAATATTAGCCAGGTGTGGTGACGCACACCTGTAGTACCAGGAGATCGAGGCTGTGGCGAGCAGTGATTGACAGAGTGAGATCTCAACTCAAAAGAAAAAAAAAAAGGATTCTATACCTCATTTAAAGTGAAAAATCATGGCCGGGCACGGTGGTTCACGCCTATAATCCCAGCACTTTGGGAGGCCAAGGTGAGAGGATTGCCTGAGTCCACAGGTTCAAGACCAGCCTGTGCAACTTGGTGAGACCTCATCTCTATAATAAATCAAAAAATTAGCCGGACATGGTGGTGAGTGCCTGTAGTTCCAGCTACTTGGAAAGCTGAGGCAGAAGGATCGCCTGAGCCCAGCAGATCAAGGCTGTGGAGAATGTGAGCGTGCCACTGCACTCCAGCCTGGGAGGCAGAGTGAGACTCCAACTCAAAAAAAAGTGGAAAATCACAGGACACCTGAGAAGAGGCCCCTAAGAGGAGGGCCAGGCAAGTGACTCAGAATAATCACAGCAGTCATGGTAATCAGCGATAACCAGCCCTGACAACGTGCCAAGCAGCAGACAACCAGTTCTCCGGCCTGATTCCCCACGGGAGGGATCGCAGAGCGCAAAGGCAGGCGTCCTTCTCTTGGATGTGACAAGGGTGCTCCACACACATGCACACACTCCCATCCCGGCAACAACCCCAGGAAGGTTTTGCTGCTCCCTTCTCGCCACACAGCTTGGCTTTTGACAGGTGCCCCAGAGGTTTGCTGACTTTGTTGAACTGTCTCTCTCGGACCAAGAGGTAAGTGACCGCCCCAAGGTATCGCTGAGTGGCAGACCTGCAACCCTGAAGCCTGTCTTTCCCCACTCCCCTCCCTGGTGGCCTCAGGGGCCACGGGACCTCCACCCGCCAACTCACAGGGTGGTGGAGCGCCCTCCACTCCCTCCCGGCTGCAGGCCGGCGAGGACCCGGCAAGTTGACCGTTCATGGCCTCCAGGGCCACAGGCTGCGCTTCCATCCTCGAGTTGGTCACTGCCTGCAAGAACCAGTCACGTCCATTCCCGAGCCTCCCATGCCAGAGGTACCTGAAGTTCTAACTTCGTAGCTTAATTCACTAGGACACAAATGAGTAAAAAAGGAGGCATCGCTATAAACACTAAGCGGACCTGAAATCCCAGTGCTTTGGGAGGCCAAGGCGGGAGGATCGCTTGAGGCCAGGCGTTCAAGATCAGCCTGGGCAACACAGCAAGTCCTGTCTCTAAAAAAAAAAAAAAGAGTGCCACAAAATCGCCAAGTGCAGTGGCTCACACTTGTAATCCCAGCACTTTAGGAGGCTGAAGCAAGAGGACTGCCTAGGCCCAGGGGATCAGGACCAGCCCGGGCAACTTGGCGAGACCTCATCTCTACAATAAGTCAAAAAGTTAGCCAGGCGTGGTGATGCACGCCTGTGGTTCCAGCTACTTGGAAGGTTGAGGGGGAAGGATTACCTAAGACTAGCAGGTTGAGGCTGTGATGGGCATGAACGTGCCAGGCCTCCAGCTTGGGCGACAGAGTGAGATGATGTCTTTAACATTAAAAAGAAAACCTGGCCGGGCTCAGTGGCTCAGCCTGTCATCCCGCGCCTTTGGGAGGCTGAGGTGAGTGGATTGCCTGAG